AATCTGTCCTGGGGTGTAACTCCCTCCCCAGGTGGCGTTGTCAACATCCCGTAGTCACCTTCACTGGTTATCCCTCCTTCACGCCACCACATTATGATTTTTGTTGGGAATGACCAGAACAGACAAGATTAGAGCATCATGGGTACATCAACTCACGGTGTACTGCAGGGGGCTGGTGTGACAGAAGATGATGCGATGGATAGGGTGAGATGGAAGTAAATGATCTGCTGTGGCAAAAGGGAGCAGCAAAAAAAAAAGAATATGAAGAAGAAAATAATACTGATCATTTTTAGGGATGTGCAGTTAAATTTTAACACAAATTTTGTATCGAACCACAATTTCTGTGGCTCATTAAAAGTGAAGAATGATGATAGACAGACCTGGAGGGATGGTCTCACTAACTTGACATATACGAGCACAATGTATATGCTGTACAGTCTTTTTATTTATTTTTTATTAATGTTTGGGTTAATGGTTAACCTAAAATCCATCCCCAGAACTATCTTAATATCTGAAAATGATGGGCTCAGTCAAAAGTCAAATTTTCTCTGCTGGTGTCATCACAGTTGCTCCTTTTCAGGCAATGAAACCACAGCCTACAGCCTGAGCTATTCATAAACAGAAAACTATATTAAATTGGGCTCAAAATCCAATCAAAACACACTGAATAGAAAGCAGGATTTGTGAATAATGCTTTTGTTGTTTAATAATTGATTGTTGTTAATTTTCTGCGATAAATGTTTATTTAAAGAAGGCCAAAGTAAATTTCCAAACATGTTCCTCCATTAAAATATTGTTGGGAAAACAATTTTACTCTAAGAAAATGAAAAGAAAAAAATCTGAATGAAATGAGTATTAAATGGATTGTAACAGTTCATTTAATTCAAAGGTTCAATGTCCAAAAGGATCGCTGAGAAAACGCAGAGAACAGGAAAGTACAAGGAGCCCACCCGGAGTAACTATCAAGGGGAATCCCATTCAGATTACATCACTGTCTTTTGTTCACAGTGTATTGTAAAGAGGATAATTACAGTCATGGTTCTGAACCAAAACCTGACTTTATTTATGCTTTATACATTTTTCTTGTCAATTACATTTTAGTTGCAAATAGTTACTCAGTCATTTTGTACTCCACTGATAAAAACTGCCACCTTTTCTCAAAAGTTTTAAAGTCAGAAGATAATGTTGCTCCCTGCCATTTGTGCAAAATGCCCAAGAACACAAACTATGCAAACAAACAACAATCTCCAGAGAGTGTCTCAGTGCAGCAGCCTTTTAAATTATGTGTAGCAAGCAAACCAAAAACCAAAAAAAGTGGTGCTTAAAAGAAGAAGAGGAGAGTGCAGGATGAGGACATTGCACTTTGGATTTGAGCAGTTCTGTCAATGACTTTGCTGCGCAAAGAGTCTGAGTATGAGAAGTTGTGTTTGCTCTGGTACAGTGTGGTGGTAAGAGCCCAAAGAAATATCTGCCCCGGGGCCTATCACAGAGTTATTACGCCTGTGGTTCAGTTGCAAACATGTGAAGCCCAAAGTCATTATGTGGGAGGGCATGTTTGTTGTCACTGAGGTAAAATGTTGAGTAATATCTCAAAAGCACTGAAAACATACTGCAGTTCTTTCACTGAAGACATTTTTGAGGTAGCTCCTCTAATGCCGAGGCAAATATAGAAAAAAATAGGCTGAAAATAATAGGGTCCTATAGTGACAGGTGATGTACTTGTAAGTCTTTCCTGTCTGATTTATATGAATCACATTATCTAGAATGACTGACAGCTCTATAGTTCACACAGACATAGTAATTAGTTTGGTTATATAATCTTTATGAGTGACATTTAGGGTTTTTTCCTCTGGCATGATAATCCTTTAAAAGCTCATCCTATTATATAAATGCACACTTTGCATGATTCTACAACCAAACCGTCACAACAAACCAAAACAACAAAAAAGATAAAGATAAATCAGGACAAAAGCAGGTACCAGTTATGACAACACTGTCAACTTGTTTATAAAAAAATTTATCATCCATGTGTAACAGAAACAATCGCAGGAGCCACTTTTACACGGGTTCAAACAAGAAGACTTTTTTAGCGGTCAAACATTTTGTTTTTGTGGAAAGGAGCATGATAAAACGGAGCAGACCAACAAAAAACACAATAAGACATCAACAGGCTTCCTGAGATCATGTTGCAAATATACATTTTCTGTGAGTGTTTATAGAAATCTGTGGTTTTAAAAGGCCACAAAACAAATGGGACTGAGTTTTGTTTTATTTAATCAGATTTTCGTGTATAGAAAACTGAAACACCACTGACTCAACGCCTTTTTCCGTTACTCTGAATAAATAAGACAGATACATGCAAGTCCTGTTCACAGAGCACTGAGTTTGTAAAGACCGAGGCTGATGCATTGTCGGCCAGCTCACAGTGTTATAAAGCAATAAACACAGAAAGTCTGATAAACTTTAGGACAAACAAACTCTGAGAACTGCTTCACAATAGTGTCACATGGTTACATGGCAAGAAGCAGCGAGATTAATTATTAATATGACTGAAATAATTTCTAGATTCATGGATTCAGAAAATGAAAATCTTCTTTGTACAGACCATTTGCTGTCAATTTGAAAACAAGGCTTTCAGATGTTGGACAGTTTGGGGCCTCTACTGTAATATTTCCAACTTCATAACCTGCCAGATGTTTTCAGTAGGTGACTGGACTGCAGACAGGCCAGTTGTGATGACCCTCACCCTAATGTCCTTTCATCAGCTCCACTCGGCAGTTCCTTTCTGCAGCTCTTGGAGAGGACAAGTGGTTTGCTCCCAATTAGCAACATTAGCAACAGCTGAGCTCAGTGTGCCAGTGCTCTAATTTAAATCCCTTAGAGCTCAGCTCTCTTCCCTCATCTATCATTTTGCATTTTGGATTTCGGTTGTGTGTTGCTTAATTTTCTTGCACTGAACAGCACTACATTCCCTGCTCACTCACAGTACTGACTACACATGTCTTGGTTAATTCAAGTTCCTAAAGGATGTTGCTTTAATTTAAAATAAACCGTTTTTTAAAGGGGCATTTGTGCAAATCTCACTCTTGGTCATGGTATTGTGACCCGGGTTGTGACACGGTTTAGCATTTCAGCTGTTTCACCATGCAACCAGCTAATGTGTGCCTCTGCTGAGAGCACACATAGTTTCTTTTGGGCAGAATTGTCTTATTAAAAAAATCCATTGCTGAAAATGCATCATCCGAATGGCAACACAAGTTATGGAAACATCTGCATAAATATAGTTAAACAACAAAGGTACATTCACAGATGTGAAAGTTACCCCTGCCATATGTACCTAATGGACCTAATAAAGATGTATAATAAAAATTAAATTCTTACTTCTGTATTAAAGCTATGATAAAGAATATATTTCTTATATTGTATGT